CTGACACAGTCCTCTATCTGCCCACCAATTTAATCTGCCTATATTTGATATTTTATTTAAAAATAAAATTCAGGTTCAAAGAGAAATAAAATTTATAACAAAATATGAAAATATTGTTTACCGGCTTGTTCTAGAGATACAAGAGTAGAAGTTTCAATTAAATCACGTTCAAGAAATGCTCTAAAATCTTCTGGATATATTGATAAATCTGGCAGTGTAAAAGTATAAACGGGTGTTTCTAATCTAATCTGTGACTGACTACTGCTTCTGCCTGAACTCCTGAAATCTTGAGCAAACTCACTTCTTGCTTTTGATACAAGATTAACATTATCTGTAGCTCGAGAAATTCCACGAGATAATCGTTTTGCTGAAATTTTTTATTTGCTTATTTATTTGTAATAACAAATTATGTTGTATAACATAAAAACTTACTTGATCCTTCAGTAGTTACTTCTCTTTCTGGAGATTTTGGAATTTGAAGATAATTGGCTGGAGAAGTAGATTTACCAGGAGAAGAACATTGATTTTTTGGACTCTGATTTGGTGATCGAGATGTTGAATTTTTTCTTTTATCATTTGTTATTGATATTTCAGGAGAAACAGTTATTCCTTTCAAAATATAATATGCAGACAATGCAGACTGTAAATTCCACTTATGACCTACAATGAAAATATTTTTTTCATATTAATATGTCAATAATGTATATGTCAATGTATATATCAAATATCTCATATTTTACTATCAGGAGGAATAAGAATATATTAATGCAGACAACATTCTATTAAACAACAATTATCATATATCAATATTAAAAGAACAAAATTCATTTACTGTAATCAGTTTGAGACTTGCTTATACTGATAACACTAGCTGAATAATTATATTAACTCTTCGGTGAACGTGCCTGTGGCAAATTGCCGCAAAATAAAGATAAAGTCTTTTGTTTGATGTTGTACTTAATTATTGTGGAAGTATGCATAGTATTCTCTCTTCATATTACATGTTACAATGTGTTTATGAAATCAGGTCAGTTATACTAACTGTTTAGTTGTTACTGGACTTTGAATCAAATCGTACCTCATTTGCATTGTAACTGCCACTATGCACCCTGCCATGTAAGTAAAATATCAGTATACTTTTATATTTATTTTTTTAATTTTTTTAATAAAGTCATTGTAGATGCATCATTACTAGAAAATTCACATGCATTTAATTTCCTAATGCAGCGGCAGTTCTCTCACTTTTTTGGCTTGTGGCACACTTTNTTTATAAACTAAAATCTATAAAACAGAATATATTTTTAATAACTACAGCTTTTTTGTGTATATTTTTTTATATCTGATTATTAAAATTATTATGCTATAAACTATGAAATAATATATTACATTGCGAATAATGAAGTGAAAAGTTCTATCCTATAGCTAAATATATTAAGCAAGCATTTTTAATCCCTAATAATTACAATTTCATACATTCATAATTAAGTTTTTAAAATAACTTCTATAAATTACACTATTTGTAAAAATAATATCTTATTTTAAAAATCATCATTGCTATTGTATTGATTTTTTAAATGAAATATTTGCACGTGATTGTGAAAGAATATTTAGGGATAAAGGGAGCTATTAAAAAAATAAACAATCTATACATGTTTATGAATTTCAATGATGTGTAACATTATATAGAAAGTACAACTGATTCATTAACTTGTTCTAGAATTTTAATTCAAACACAAATTATTTTATCGTATTTATACAGACACTTGGCAAATCACAGAAATTAAATTTTATTTGGTTGATTTATTTGGTTAAATTTTATTTGGTCAATCGAATAAAATTTAATTCTGTGATTTGCCAAGTGTCTGTATAAATACGATAAATAATTTGTGTTTGAATTGAAATAAATTACTGGCACGGTTTCAAAAATACCAAAATTGTTCTAAAATATCAATTTCTTTCAAGAGATTATGAAATATTGTACTTAAGAAAACTTTGAGAACAAAATATTGAATAATGTATAAGTTAAAAATTAATCTATAGTAATCTGTAAAATTATAGCTGGTCCTATTATTTGTTTACTTTACTAAATATTGTTTTACTATTACTATTTCTAAATATTACTTTACAAAATATTGACAATTTTATAATAAAAGTAATGTTGAGGGACACATTATTCTTTAAAAATGTTGAATCTATTCTAATTTGTAATTTTAGTCAAAATTTTTAGTAATTTAATTAAATATAGCAAAAATAGAAAAGCATCTCTCTACTGAAGTGACTTTTTGTTTTGTCATCTTAATAAATATTTTTTGATTCCTTGCTAATAAATGTTTCTTATATTCACTTCTTTAGAAAATAGGTCTATTTTTGGAAATAAAAAATTCTTAGAGAAGAATATGTTTGAGAAAAATTCTTTTAATTAAATATATAACAAATTTAAATTTACATATTCATACACATATTCTTGACCACTTGATGAAATTCAACCAATCCTTAATCCAAGATTATTTAAGGGTATTAACTGTATTCTGCTTCACTTATCAAGCAAATCAATCAGTGATTTTTACAAGCAAATTAATGATACTTATGAAAATGTTACCAATAATAATAAACAAATTGAAATACTTCTAAACTCCATTGCTGATGGGCTTCATTCTATTGTAATAAGCTGAAAATCTTTTCTTATACAAATAAATGAATAAAATAACATACTACTAAACAGTAATTTTGCTGGGTAATAATCTGATGTACATTGTAAAAACTGAATTGTTTTATTAACAAGAATATTATTATTTTACTTGCAAATGTAATATATAACTTTAAACATCATGTATTCTTCTTTATCTATAATTATGATCTTTTTTTAAATTAAATAATTATTTAGTTCTTTACATTATATATCTTTTTTATCCATACTTTACAATATATTCATTTCTTTTTCACAGTTTGTTAAGTGATGAATATTTAAAAATAAAAACAAGATATAAATGTACAACATTAATATTTTTAATAAACAGAACTTCAAAACAGCCATGTAAAAAAATGAAAACAAATTCACATTATACACTTTTATAATATATAAGTTTAAATAATAAAAATAAAATAATAATAAATGTTTTAAAGACATTTAATTTTACTTTTCCCAGAATGTTATAAACAACAATTAAGGATATTAACAGCAGAACAACATTTAATTATATAATAAATCTAACATATGATATAAAAATAGAATTGGAAGAAAAATGCAGTTCAAATATTTTACTTTCAAGTGAATATTGACAATGAGAATCACATTTCCTGTATTTATGAAAGTAGCTGTAAAATTAATTTTTTTTTATTACACAAATCTTGGACTAAAGTAAATAAACACATTTAAATATTAATTCATCTTTCCATTTGTACTGCATTTGTATTGCATATTTTAAAATTAAGATTAAAATATTCAATAAAGTATTTCTGTTAGGAACATCCAATTTAATACCCATTATAAGAAATAATTTTCACTAAGTCTACCAATGAGAATAATCAACAAAACCTTACATTTCAATAAATTTTGAAATAGGTTTTACTCTATATTTTGATTTTCAGTAAAAAAATTTTCATAACAAGACAAATATAATAATAATGTATATTAATAACAAGATGTAAATAATTCAGAAATAAATAATATCAAAAAATAAATCCAATATAATTTTGCAATTAGCAAGCTTTATATTTCTTAAGCATTTGTAAAAATATTTTAAAAAATTCATCATCATTTAATTCTTACTCAGTGAAAATTTTCCCTATAGAAATGGATGCTACCCCTTTTAATTCCATCTATAGCAAACTTAACATGAACATAAATAAAAAATAATTCAAAATGTCTAACAACTTTTTGTTTTAAAATTTTGGAAGTATCAATAAATGCAGCAAGAGTACTTTAACAACCAGTAAGAATAATCTGTTGACACATAAATAGATTTTTATACACAGCTAATGTTCTGAATTCTAAATGTAATTTATATTAAATTCAGACACTGGAGCATGAATCATAAGACTTGATTATCTGGCAGAAAATAACCACATTTGGATCATTTCTAAATTTTTTTTAAGTTTACAAAACTCCCATAATGATTGTATATTCTTTCTCTAATTATGCTAAAGAATATCCATTTATTTTATGGTCATTTATATACAAAATGATATGAGCTTACTTGCATAAGAAATATGAGGAAATTTTTTTACATGTTTAATAAATAAAATTTAAATAAAAATATACACATATACATATATATAACATCATCTGACTTCAGTATACTTGTCAAAATGCTCTTCTTTAGCAATTAAATTATAGCACTTTTGGTTTGTCATGCAAGAAATTAATATAAAAAAGAGGAATGTGGTGATATGGGCTTGGAAAATTTGTAGCATATTTACAAAGTATGTTCTTATGATTTGAAGACTGTTTGTCTTTCATTAATTGAGAAATGTGTAAATGGGAATCAAAGATAAAGCTACAATCATTGATCATATATATACATATATATGTGTAGTGTATTCTATATACACCAAATATATACCATAATGAACTCAATTTCAAAACTTTACTGTATAGTTACAATAACTGTAAAAAATACATGCAATATTAATTATTGCAATTAATTATTTTTAATAATAAAAAATAGTAATCTTAAAATATTAAAGCAAATTAAATTATTGGTAGAGCATCTAAGATTATTACAATTGATAAATAAGACTAGAAACTTTCTTACTATATTCTTCCTTGAAATCACTTAATGCAGTGTACGATATGATTAATAGGAGGGGTCATTTCTAACCCAGTTAAGTATCATACATGAGTTTGGCATTTGCTGATCACAGCTAAACAGGAACACCATACAAAACCCCATATATATACATATATATATGTATATGAATACCTACATATATATACTATATATATATTCATTTTAATTTCACACATTTGTGGTCTTTGCAATGCCATAAATATATATAAATCACACATTAACAGCCATTTATTTATAGTATTATTATTTTTTTCAAAACACAAGGCTGCTGGGCAGTGGATAAAGCCTGGTATTTATAAAATGGAATACAGTATTTAAAATGTACATTGCAAAATTTAATATATGTTTTAGGATACAAGATGTAGATCTGGTAGTACTTTCAGTTTTTGCTAATCCACGAGAAATCACAACACTGATAATTATCCATGAAATTCAATTATGAGTGGCACATTGCACCATACAAATCATAGTCAATCATCCATTTGAATGGTTGACTAAAAATTGAAAATTTGGCAGTTTAAACTTTAATCGTGTCATCACAATTATCAGGAGATATTTCTACTTTATGTTCTGAATTAGAAGTACTAGCAATGGGAATTTGAGAATATGCAGCATGCATGCCTCGTTTTGGACTATATTCTGACTGACTTTTCTTTAATATACCTATGTGATTGAACTTTCCAGGTGATCTAAGTATTGTGCTATCATCATCTATACAATTGTCTTTATGTAATAACTTATGTACTGGTGAATATTTTCTCTTACCTTCCATTTCCACTTCTTGTTGTTTCTGTTTAGAATAACAAGAAGAACATAAATAGCTTGTTGCTGATGTACCAAACATAGTACATCCAGGATTTATACAATAAGTTAACTTTTCCTTTTGTTTCGATTCTTTACCCTGATATTTATATTTAGATTCTTTTTCTTTATTAAATCGTGAACGAGCTGATATTAGATAATTTTTTATCATTTCTTCCTGATATTCATGCCTTTTTTCTGTATGAAGAGAAGCAACCAGAATTTGATCTGAAATCACATCTGTGATTGTTAATTTACTTGGAGATTCCTTTGGTCTTCTCTTTTTAAGTCCTTCCATTGTTTGTTTAAATGAATCTGATTCACCTTTAAATGAACCGGATTTTCGAGTCAAACTACCAAAATTTTTCTTCAATTTTTTACTCATTGTTTTACCAATACTTCCAAATTGTTTGGCAACAGTTTGAATTTGTTTTGCAGCTTTACTCTTTTGTTGACTAGGTAAACTTCCTGTAGATGAAGCAGATGCTGTATCTGCTATACTATCATCAGAATCAAAACTGTCAGCTGTTGATCTTACTTCTTCATTAATACCATTAATAAAATCTGGTGTTGAATCAAATGAATCTTGCCTTTCCAAAATTGGTAAAGGAATTTCTGATAAATCTAAATAATCATTTAATAATGATAATTTTTCTTTATTGGTGAGTTGTAAATTAGATGTTATTAAGAAATCATTTTCATCATGATTCCATCTAACATCTGGACCTGGATCTACTGCAAATTGGATTGGAAGAATTTTATTTTCAGGATCTACCAAAGGAATTGCAGCTGAAATAAACAAAACTTTATTTAAGTGATTTATTTTATATTAATTATTAACCATATTATTTGTTTTATAAAATTTATAAGTAATTTATTTATTTTGAAATATACAAATAAAAATTTACCAGGAAGATGTGGAGTTTTATCTACAAAACCTTCCATGTCCATAGCAACTAAAGCTGAAAAATGTGCAGCATCATAAGTCAAGCAGAGTGGTGATCTATGACATTCAATAAGTGGGCATTCGAGAGGAAGATAGATACCACCAAAAGGAATTGGAGCAAATGGTTGACCAGTAGCATCTTTTAACATTGTGTCGGCAATAACTATAATAGGCCGTTTCAATACATGTGCCAAAGCTAAAACATGAATTTCTTCAAGACTTTCATAAACATCACTTTGTCCTTTGTTCTCTGGGACAGATTCCAATGTCCTAAAAATTTATGTATTATTATTTTTAAAAATAAATTTGAATTGTAACAATATAACTAAAATTCTTACTCTCTTCCACTACTTGTTTCACTTTTTTCCAATCCACTTAATTTTTGATATGGATGTAAACGAGGTTCTGTAGATGCTAACTTCAATAAACTTTGCCATTCTCTACTCCATTCTTCTTCACAATAAACAAGTCCTGCCTAAAATGTAAAATTATTAAATAAACTCATTAAGAAAATTTTTAATTTTATAATTTAAGTAATATTATTTACTTCTTTGTTTTGAAGGGAAGTTTGCCATCTCCATCTCCGATAAAATGCCTGAGTGAAAGCACTGTTTGAAAGTATGCTGTGCAATGCCTTACGTAATGTTAAAAGACGATCGTGAAATCCCCACATACCTGTAAATGAAAAATTCATTTTAAATTTACCTTTATATTTTAATTTAAATACCCAAAGTTTTATAAACATTATAAATTTAAACATACCTAATGATGCTGCATGTAAGAGACAATTTCCATCTCCAGTTGTTGCTAAAGGCCAAAGCCTCTGACACAGTCCTCTATCTGCCCACCAATTTAATCTGCCTATATTTGATATTTTATTTAAAAATAAAATTCAGGTTCAAAGAGAAATAAAATTTATAACAAAATATGAAAATATTGTTTACCGGCTTGTTCTAGAGATACAAGAGTAGAAGTTTCAATTAAATCACGTTCAAGAAATGCTCTAAAATCTTCTGGATATATTGATAAATCTGGCAGTGTAAAAGTATAAACGGGTGTTTCTAATCTAATCTGTGACTGACTACTGCTTCTGCCTGAACTCCTGAAATCTTGAGCAAACTCACTTCTTGCTTTTGATACAAGATTAACATTATCTGTAGCTCGAGAAATTCCACGAGATAATCGTTTTGCTGAAATTTTTTATTTGCTTATTTATTTGTAATAACAAATTATGTTGTATAACATAAAAACTTACTTGATCCTTCAGTAGTTACTTCTCTTTCTGGAGATTTTGGAATTTGAAGATAATTGGCTGGAGAAGTAGATTTACCAGGAGAAGAACATTGATTTTTTGGACTCTGATTTGGTGATCGAGATGTTGAATTTTTTCTTTTATCATTTGTTATTGATATTTCAGGAGAAACAGTTATTCCTTTCAAAATATAATATGCAGACAATGCAGACTGTAAATTCCACTTATGACCTACAATGAAAATATTTTTTTCATATTAATATGTCAATAATGTATATGTCAATGTATATATCAAATATCTCATATTTTACTATCAGGAGGAATAAGAATATATTAATGCAGACAACATTCTATTAAACAACAATTATCATATATCAATATTAAAAGAACAAAATTCATTTACTGTAATCAGTTTGAGACTTGCTTATACTGATAACACTAGCTGAATAATTATATTAACTCTTCGGTGAACGTGCCTGTGGCAAATTGCCGCAAAATAAAGATAAAGTCTTTTGTTTGATGTTGTACTTAATTATTGTGGAAGTATGCATAGTATTCTCTCTTCATATTACATGTTACAATGTGTTTATGAAATCAGGTCAGTTATACTAACTGTTTAGTTGTTACTGGACTTTGAATCAAATCGTACCTCATTTGCATTGTAACTGCCACTATGCACCCTGCCATGTAAGTAAAATATCAGTATACTTTTATATTTATTTTTTTAATTTTTTTAATAAAATAGGTCAATATTTGCAAGTTTATTGAATAAATATATTAAATTAACAATATAATATGCAGACAATGCAGACTGTAAATTCCACTTATGACCTACAATGAAAATATTTTTTTCATATTAATATGTCAATAATATATATATCAAATATCTCATATTTTACTATCTACTATTACTAAGTTTCTATAAATTTTTAAATTTATATTAGTCTATAAGTGTTTCAATCAGCTTTTGTGAAATCTGTATTTTCTTGATGTCTTTAGATCTCAAACCTTTAAACCAGGAAAAGTTGAAAGAAGCTTTAGAACAAGTATTGAGAGAATTAATCAAAGAAAGTGAAGAGCCAGAAAAATTGACTATCACAGTGAAAGTGAGACAGAAGAGGAAATTATAGAAGAAAATTCTCATGATAGTGATTCCAAACAATCAGGGAATGACATAGATAATATTGTCATAGAAGAAAATAGTGAACATGGGCAGATAGAAAAAGACAATTATTGATTTTATATAGGAAAAGATAAGGAAACTTTGTGGATCAGTAAATCTCTATATTCAGGTAAAACAAAAACAAAAAATATTATGAAAACATTGCCAGGACCAAAACCTACTGCCAAAAGTACAAATAAAGAAATAGATGCAGAAATAGATTTCGCTTGTTTATTACTGATCAAATGATTGAAAGAATCGTAACAAATACTAACGGATATATTCAGAAAAAAAGGACTGACATCAAGTATGCAAGAGATAGAGACTGCAGAGATACAACCAAAACAGAAATAAAAGCCCTTTTTGGAGCATTGTATTTGATTGGTATAAAAAAAAGAGAGTCATACTAATTGCTGTGAGCTCTGGTCATCCGATGGTACAGGAATGATCCTTTTATGGGGCCTTTTCAGTTATAAATGTTTTTGGTTTTTGTTTGTGCACTTAGATTTGACAATTTAGAAACCAGGGATGAATGAAAAATAACTGATAAGCTTGCACCAATTCGAGACTTTCACCAAGAGTTTGTTAACAATTGTGTAGGCAGTTTCAATGTGAATGAGTTTGTGACAATTGATGAGATGCTTTCATCCTTTTAGAGGATGCTGCGAATTTGTACAATACATTCATATTAAGCCTTTGAAATACAGCATAAAAATATATGCTCTATGTGATGCTAAAACCTTTTATACTCTTAATTTTGAGATTTATTGTGGAAAGCAAATGCAAGAGCCCTATGAGAGATCAAACAAGACCAATGATATAGTAAAGAGATTAGTCATGCCGTTAGAAAAAACAAAAAGAAATGTTTCTACAGACAATTACTACAGTAGTTATCCTTTAGCTGTAGATTTATTGAATAAAGGGCTTACCTTTTTAGGAATAATGAAGAAAAACAAACAAGAAATACCTCCAGAATTTCTTCCAAACATAACCAGACAAATAAATTCATGTCTATTTGGTTTCAGTATGGTTATTGCATTGCTTCAATAGTTCCAAAGAAAAATAAAGCTGTAATCTTTCTTTCAACCATACATGACACTCCTGAAGTTGATCAGGAAATTAACGAGGCTGTGATAAATTTGGACTACAATACTACTAAAGGTGGTGTACACAGACACTGTAGATCAGATGTGTTCATCCCATACCACATCCCAAATTACAAGGAGATGGCCACTAACTCTCTTTTATTGTCATCTCGACATTGCTGGAATAAATTCTAAATATTATATGTTAAATTTAATAATCCTGATAACAAAGACAGAAGGTGACATTTTATAAAAAAAAAACTTGCCCTAAGTCTAATGGAAGAAGATTTGGAAGAAAGATCTATGATGTTGACACTTCCTAAAGACATTTGCACATTTTTGGAAAAATATAAGGGAAACAAAGAGCTGTCCAAAGAAGTAGCAAAACCTAGAATTTGTTTTATTTATGGTGAACACAAAAACAATAGGACAAAATCGATTTGTCAAGAATGCAGTAGAAATGTTTGCAAAAAGCACAGTAATATAGTGATTATATGTGCCATGTGTGAAGGTAAACATCACATGGAAGTAGAGTGACTTCTTTTTATTATCTAAATATTTTATAACCAATTTGTTTATTAAAATGTCTTAAAATTAATTTTCTGGTATATCTGATTCATATTTTCAAAACAANTTTTTGGAAAAATATAAAAACGAAGAGCTGCTCAAAGAAGTAGCAAAACCTGGAATTTCTTTATTTGTGGCAAACACAAAAACAATAGGACAAAATCGATTTGTCAAAAATGTGGAAAACATGTTTGCAAAAAGCATAGTAATATAGTTATTATATGTGCCATGTGTGAAGGTGAACATCACATGGAAGTAGAGTGACTTCTTTTTATTATCTAAATATTTTATAACCAATTTGTTTATTAAAATGTCTTAAAATTAATTTTCTGGTATATCTGATTCATATTTTCAAAACAATAATTAATTATTGACTTAAATCAAGTAATATTACATATTACTTGATTTAAGTAATTGCCATTATATTACTTGATTTAAGTAAACAGGTCATTTTGAGACAATTCGAAAAATGCAGTCAAGGTTGTATTAACAGGTCGGTTTGCAACTCTTTGTGCTGTTTGACTCGTAAAATACACTCGTTGTCCATTCTCAAGATGAACTGCTAAGTAAAAAACAGCTTGATCTATGTCATGAATTGGAAAACCTAATATATGCCAAACTGCCTCATTACTTTTGATATATCGTCCCATTTGATATCTGAAAATTTCATCATGTTGATTTTCATTAGTTACTCCAAAGACAGCCATATCACTCCCTTTATTAATATATTTACACACATATTTAATTGACTTGACAGAACTGCAAGATTCTACGCTGATATGTGCTTGAAACATCCTTGATAATAGTGGATTATATGGCACGACCCATTGATTGCCAATTTCAAGTTGTACGCCTCTTATCTTGATTTTCACCGTAAAATCCTCCTTTACTCAGTGGTCAACATCTGTATTTTGGATGTCCATCATCATCCATTTGGGTTTCATTTAAAAATGATCTCGGATACTGCTTTGAGCATTTGTCGTCTTTCATACAGGGTGATTGCATATTAAGTACTCCACATGGTCCATGGATCATATTTTTTACAATTATTTCATACAAAACAGGATCTTCAATCGGGTTTGGAAACTCCACCTTGATAACATCATCAATTCGATTTGAATGAATTTTCTCTCTGAGCCAAATTAAATCATGTGAGTGTGGCAATCCCCTTTTTTGCCATTCAATGAAGTACATCCAAGAAATGACAATTCCAAAAATACGACTCTTTACAATCGCATTAATAAATTTTATTTGTTTTTGTTCGAACACTTGCACAATTATGTCATGTCTATTATGTGGAAGTTGTCCATACTGTAACTCATCTTTAATCTCCTTCCATGATGAATTACATGTAAATGTTATAAACAAATCAGGATGACCATACTTCCTCACATAAGTCATTGCATCTTGTGTATATTCAAGCATATGTCTGGAGCTACCGGTGAATATAGAAGGCAAAATTACTAATTGCTCCAGATTTTCAATATTTCCATCACTGACTGCCACATCCCGCAAACGAATGTATTCATCTGTTCGTAACTTACTTTGATTTTGGCAAATGTAAAGCAATCTTTCTGCTTCTATTTTTGCTTGCATATCAACAATAAACTGTAGAAACAATTGCCAACAATTAAGTATATGATTGTATTCATTTTGTGAGGGCCAGGATTTAAAAATGCTGAGATTCAAATATTTTTATTCATTTTCATCTACCGTTTTTGTTTCGAAACCAAAACGATTTTATAAACGTTAGGGTTAACTCAAAAAGAGAAAAACAACAGACAAATTTTCTCATAAAATATTGATCATAAAACTCTGTTCCCACGAAAATACTTCCTTGTAGAAGATGAGTTAACTGTTATGTCATAATTTTGTCACTTAACCTGCCATTGGTCAAAGGAGATCATCACCCTTTGACGTACGTGGGGAAATCTCGAGAAGAGAGCCCCCACATAAAAGGCAAGTGCAATGACGACACAGGGGAGAAAAAAAGGATTATTTTGTACTGTGAGTGTGTCTGTGGATTTTCTGCCTCTCGTCGCCACCATCTTCGATAGACTTCCTATCTGAACTATTCGACAATTTTTGGAATTACATCGAATCAATGAACTATTTCAACAAGGATCCAAACCCAAAGATCATCAAGAAACCATCTTGTACAATTAGAGGTATTTATCCTACTCGCAATGATTGTAAGCTCTCTCTCAAGTACTTTCGAAATGTGGTTAGGATTGCGACTATTATCTATTGTCAGCTACCTTTCCTGAATGGAATTACCTATATGGAATGTTAACCCGGAGAAAGTTATGTGCTCTCAAACCCTTAATAATCTATAACCATATAAATACGTTCTACAATAAATGGGTATATTGTTAATGAAATTGGATTGGTATGCGTTTCTTCCTACATTACCACCTCCATTCCAAACTGGAAATCATGAACGAGATTGCTCCTGTTAAATTGACCTCACTTAAAAGCGTATCTATCTGCCGATAAATTGATAGATTGGTGTCAGATCCTGACATGAAATAATGATCCTTAACTCTATAACCCTTCCGCTCAACAGAGCCCATCCTTTGGACAAGAGAGACCGGACCTCAAGGTCTTAAGAGTCGATTAAGAGGTAAGAGAGTCAAGAACCTGTAACATCCTACCCCAATTAGTCTCACAATTTTCTCTCTCCATTTAAGCAATATGCAATATGCATAAAACTGTTTTGAAGATACTTTTTTTATTTGTTGGTTGATTCATTTGTGGGTTAATTTGTTGTATATTAAAATGGTAGCCATCTTCGCCTTGCCAATATATTAATGGATATTGCAAGGCATCATAAATGCAATTAGTTTCTGCAATACATTGCAACTTATTGCTCCTTCGTTGTACCACAATGTCCCTATAAGTACTTTCATTGTCCATGATTACTACCGCTACTTCATTTATTTGAGGTGCATTGAACTGTCTTTCATGCTCACCAACTGGTCTTTTATCAGCCCAAATTATTATTTTGTAATTGTCCGAAACCATTTTCTCCATTGCAGTCTTGAACATTTTCACTAACTCATTACTTATATGTAGAAAACGCTGTAAATGAAGAATTATATCTTGATGCAATCCTGTAAAATTCGTTGATCTACTTCATCTTCTTTGTTTCCTATGAAGTAAATTTGTAAAACTTTGGCGTTTCGTTTGCAAGTGGTAATAATGACCCAATTCTATGATATACTTGTCCTTGGACTTTAAACACTGGACTGAATCCTTCTTCTTTGGTTATTGCAGTTGCTCCAAACGATGTCATTTGGAAGCATGCATTGTAACTTCTAATTTTTTGTAAAACGTCTTTAGATTTCTGTGTTTCTCCATTCATAATTTCCAAAAATTCAGGCAGCGGCAAGTTTAATGCTAGTAATCTAATTTTACCATTTGAGCAGCATGTACTTGGCGTTTCTCCTTTGAATTTTTTCGCTTTTACAAAATTTACATACTTGATCCATTCTCCCAATCACTACACTTAGATGTTCATTATAATTTTCAGTTGGATCATAATGAAACACTTCGTGTTGAAAACTGTAAATTCCTCACTGTCTTTCGCACACAGCGTGTACAGTTGTTTCTAATAATTGCACGTTGACCTGCTCATCTAGGCAAATGTCACTCATTCTCTCTTCTCTGCTTTCTTCTTTCATCCAACTGTGCACTTGTTTCTCTTCTTCTATGTAATCTTTCTCTGATTTGATGTGTTTCCCTATAATTTTCAAGTTGCTCTTCTGTCTGATTATTTCTGTTTCATTGATAATTTTCTCGTAGCAATGTTAGATGTACTTCTCTTTCTTCTGAGCTTTCATTTCTCTGCACCATCTTTTGCCTTTGCAATATAATTTGAGACCATGAAAATTCTTTCTTACACTTTGGCATTGTTTTTTATATTTTTACTTTTCATACTTCACTATTCACTTATCACTTTTTTCTGTTATTTGTACACTTTTACTTATGAAAAATCAACTGAAGCATGTGTGTCACACTTTGTCAAAAGCCACTACTCATACATAACGGTACTCGACTATTCCAAAACATTTTCAAACCTTCTGGTCTGGTTCATTCTAGAACATTATGAACATTGTAGAACATTTTAATTAAAATATTTTTTTCGTATAATAATTCAATAAAAATTGATAAAATAAAATTATCTGTACATAAAAAGTTATTCAGAATATGATTGGTAAAGAAAAATTCGAAAAAAAGTTTAGATAGTTATTTTTAATCAATAAATAACTACTCACCACACCACACTAACTTAAAAAATTACACACATGGAACCAATTTACAGTGTGGTACATCAAAAAACATTGAAAAAACGAACCCCTTCTGGGCGCTGCATCAGGTTCAAACGGTTTTTAATGGGAATTCAATTAATTAATTAATTAACAAATGCTGTTTAACTATGAGTTTGATCTTGAATTCAAAACAATTTACAAAAAATTTCTGTCATGCATGCGCGACGGGTCAGTCTGCCCGGATACAACGAGCGGATAGAGCGTGCTGTGAATCAACTCTTGCCAGGCCATTGACAAAAGCATCTCCTCTTTAAAATTTATGCACATGGTTTTGATGGAGGATTTAAAGATGTACATAGCCTCTAACCATTTGATATGTTCATTGGGAGGCACAGCGAGGAGGAGATTGGCCTGAGTAAAGTCAGCTACTATGTCTGGGTCTGTACACGGTCCAATCTCCTCCTCACTGTGCCTCCCAATGAACATCTCAAATGGTTAGAGGCTAAGCACATCTTTAAATCCTCCATGTGCATAAATTTTAAAGAGGAGATGCTTTTGTCAATGGCCTGGCAAGAGTTGATTCACAGCATGCTCTATCTGCTCGTTGTATCCGGGCAGGCCGACATGTCGCACATGTGTTTTTTGCATAGATATTTTGTAAATCGTTTTGAACTCAAGATCAAACTCTTAGTTAAACGACATTTGTTAATTGAATTCCCATGTAAAAACCGTTTGAACCTGATGCAGAGCCCAGAAGGGGTTCGAAAACATTAATTTTTTTTTTGATGTTTTTTGATGTCACCACACTGTAAATTGGTTCCATATGCGTAATTTTTTATTTTTAATCATAAAATATTTAAANGATATAGTCGCGTGTTGGGCTTAAATCGATCACCTAATATCGAGACTTGACATCGTTCGAAATATTATTTAAAAAATCAAAATTCTTTGCTGATAGTTTAGGCAGAAATGTTTTCTATGTACAGTACGAATAGTTATGATAATACAACCAGTAGAACAATATATATAAAACAATTATTATTTTCATATAATAATTCAATAAAAACTGATAAAATAAATTTATTTGTACATAATTCAAGTGAAAAAAAGTTATTCAGAATACGATTGGTATAGAAAAATTCGAAAAAAAATTCAGATAGTTATTTTTAATTATAAAATATTTAAAATTTCTGGAAACGTCCAAAAGCTTCTGAAATAATATAGAATATTGTGGAACATTCTTGAAGGATCTAAAAATTATTAAAGTAATCCAAAACTTTCCAGAATATTTGTTTGTTTGTTTTTATTGTTTAAGTTTTTTTATTATTTGATTATTAAAAAAATGTACTATAATGTATTATTAATTTAAAAAGAAATGAGAGGAGGTAGATTGTAGGGGTGAAGAATGAGAGTGAGGACAGAAAATGTGTGTGAGAATTCTACAATATTCCAGAAAATTTTAGAACTTTCTAGAAAAAACTGGAACATTCTCATTGAAGCATCACACATTTTCAAAGTCAACCACTTTCAACCTCCATATCTCCCACACCCTTATAGCTATCGAGATGCGACCACCACAATGCACGATGGGAGACTTGGGGCTACTACCACACAAAAACACCATTCTTATGCGATGTGTAGTTTTGGCTGCAGAGTGAAATATAGGCACAAACACATCCATATATATATATATGGATTAGATGACTGATAACAATATCAGCAATTACAGTAAGTGGATTCTTTGGTACAACTATAGTTTTAAAATAGTAATTAATCCATACTGTTATTAAACTTTAATTAAGTAACATGTATTTGATATAATTTCTATATATAAATATTAATTAAATAGTTTCCTTGAAAAAATTGATCTTGCATATCTCATTTTTAATCTGTGTGTAAAATATCCAATTGTTGCACATGAAATGGCAGATCTGTAGACTGGCATATTTGATCACTTTATTATTATAAAAAGTTTTAAGAAAGATGTCACTATTTTTATTTTAAATTAAATCATTAAGTCCACTATACTTAATATGCTATTTATTTTCACAATAAAATTAGTTTAAAGTTATATAAAATAAATTAAAAAGCACAATGCATCAGAATCATATTTTGGCAATTTTCTTATATGAATTTAAACTCGGACACAATGCAGCAGAGGCAACTCTCAACTATTTTATAGCATTTTGAAAAGACACATCTGGTGAACAGATAATACAATACTGGTTCTGAAAATGCCAATCAGAAGAAATGAACCATCTGGTCAACCAAAAGCAGCCATAGATAAGAATGAATTAAAGGATTTAATTAATTAATGCTAAAATGTATTATGCATCACAGAGAAA